AAGTTGTCGGGAAATTTAGGAAAAAGTGGCAGGAAGTTGGGGAAAATCTGAAAATTGGCAGAAGTGGGGGGGGGAGTCGTATTGTCTCGCAGCTTTTCCTGTTTCAGGTCCGATTCGATGAGGATGGACAGAGGGCCGGAGAGGGGGGGGGGTCGTACCAATCCCCAAAAAACGGGGGGGGGTCGTCCAGACTCGACCAAAATCCCCAACCAATGATGTGTCCTGTGTGCTGTAGTAGGTGCTTCGCTTACACTTTATAATAGCCTGCAGGTCTCAGCAAGGTGTGTGTGGGTGTAATTCAACAGGAGCTAGTAAAAGGAACTAGCGAAAGTGCAAAATGCCCTTCCGAAGCCAAACAGCTTCAGCCGAATAGTAAAACAGATGGGGAATCGATGGCTCGTTTATTAATGAGAGGATTATCGGTTCCCTTGGCTTCATTTTTCGTCCTTTCTCATTTTCCCCTTTCTCGTATCCTAGATGTTTAATGTTCTAGGGGACATGGAAGAGGCATGTAAAGGACTTTCAGCGCAAAACCAGAATCTTTAATTGAAAATAAGGTTTTTCGCCGAAGCTCAGGCTAAATGAGCTCTGGGGTGGGTAAACCAATTTCAATCACGATAACTCTATTTGGATGAGGTTAATCCCAGTTTTGCACACGAGTCCTTTTAATGCCCCCTCCCCCAAGGCTATTAGCGCCACGTTCAATTGTTATAGCTTGTTTTATCACAAAAATAAATTTTAAGTAATTAGAACTTATTCGAAACTTAGTCACCTCTGTATCTCCGACGTCGTCATCGTGTATTTCTTCGAGTTTCCTCTTTTTCCCCGATGAACTAGCGGACTGACTTTGTTTGTCGTTGTACTGCAAAATAGTATAAATTACCGGTTATAGAATTACAAAGATGTTAAAAAATTCCCAAGTGCCTTTAGAAATTGTTGTATAAGTTCGGGTGTGGAACGGCTGTCCAAGGATCCCCCTTAACCGCGAATTCGAGCATCAGAAGTTTTAAAGATTTCCTACCCTCCCTTCCGAATTGTCTCAAAGTGTGAGAATTCTACCTCACCATGGTTCAGCAACATGAAAAGATCGAATGAATTAGTTTCCTCCTCCAGCATCGATTGGTAATGTCGCCATGCTTTGCTCTGCGAAACTTGCGCTGACTCTTTCAAAGGGTCTACTCGATCCTGACTATTAGGATAGTTAAATCTGCACGACACCCATTGCCAAACGCCTTTTCTGGCGGTATTAGGCGCGCCTATGGCTTGCAGGCGCAGGGCGCGTTTCGCGAAGTAAAAGATCTCTCGCTTGCCTTTTTTTTTGTTCCCATCTAATATTTATCTGCGCTCTTCGGTCATGGTGGGGGTTAGCGCGGGAGCATGTTCCTGATGGCTAGTTTCTTTACTGTTCATACCAAACCTTACTTTCGCCTTGGTAATACCTGTTTCTTTTGTAATGTCAATGGCTCGTCTATTGCACGGCTTTTCAAGAGTTGACAGGTCTTTACAGGAGGCGTAGGCAAACATCGACAGGGAACCAACGCCCCCCCCCCAAGCATAATTGCGCCTGAATGAGCAAATCCATTAAAAAGTATTGGATAGAAAAATATTTATGAACCTACTTGGAAGGCTAAAAAATGCAAGAAAGACAAAAAAGACGCAGCTGTGCCCAGAAACTTTCCGCGCGTACTGCCGCCTGCGCCCCGTGACCAACCAGTAAATTCGCCTTATACCCAAGAATAGGGTTATTTCACACCTCAGAACGGAACTTCATTTCGAGAGCGGATACTGCTCAGGCAAATGCTGTCTCCTGGATGGTCCACAGATCAAATCCCGGCTCCTGCCCATGCTATCTGGAGTTTTATCACGTCCCTCCCGTCTCATTAGCGTCAATCCCATTCGGAAGTTTACACCACGGATTGCCTTAGGTCCTTCAAGAGCAAACAGGCGTTAGGATATACCTAAGGACTTGGGGGTCGACTACTTAGCGCTTTGCAAAAAGGGCTAACCAAGGCGTAGCGTTGCCCAATTACGGACGTGGGTTACTCTGAGAACTCAAACTGTTACACAAGTCGAGCTCATGGGTGCAGCAGCTCGTTCACCCAGAACGGCCTCTTTCCCAAATATTTCAAGAATTATTGAGAACCTCACCTCAATCTCGCCTTCACCGGAGTCGCTGGCTTCTTCCTCGTCATTCCTTTCCGTGATCTGAGGGTCAAACAGGCTTTCAGCTGCAATTGCGCTATCTGAATGCACAGTTCATACTGTTGGTATAAAAAGGCCAAATCTACCACTGTGTTTTCCTCTATAAGACTCCCCCTCCTCCGATGAAGGCACAATCATGGCCTAACTCCACACAGACCATCTGCGTGGACTCCACCTTGTATCCAAGATGACTATAAACAAGGCACCTGCCAATGGGAAAATTTTCAATCCCCAAGTTGCTCCCCTGTTACAGCTAC